TCCCAAATGTTTGTTATATTTCCTCGAAAGTTTTGCCATCTTGCTACGTACTTATAATCATGCGATCTTTAGCCGCATTAGCCAGCCGATCATATTATGTAAACTGGCTTAAGCCAACTAAGCGTGGCTGTATCAGCCGGTTTAAAGCGCTATTACCGTTATTGAGAAATCTATTGCTATCACAAATAGAGTAATTTCATACATTTCTGTTATTTATTAATATAATCATAAAAATGGAGCTCTAAGACTGATAACACAAATTTCAAATACTTTCAAGAATTAAAAATAAAATGAAACAAAGAAACATAAATGCGATCATATTTATCTTTACTCTTTTTATCGTGAGCTTCTTAATCGAACCTAATTCCGAAGCTGCTGCGATACCTAAATCATTTTTCAAAAGACTTGATATCAAAAGTAGGTTTTATTATTCTTTAAGTTGACGAAAATTAAAATCATTCTCAAAATTTATTGATATTAATATTAGAAAACATGAAAAGAGGCCGATCGACAAGTGGTTGTACAGCAATATGTGATATTTATTTATGTCCATGGTCAGAATATAACTGTTGTCAATGGTCTATGAGTTGTGATAACTAAAATGTATGAGTTTATATGTAACAAAAATTACATCAGTTTAAAAATTCTATTTTGTTGTATTGAATAAAATTTGCAACTTTTAATGATTATATCTCTAGTTTAGAAATTTTTAAAGTCGTTTGATGAAAAGGAAGGCATGCGATCAGTAGCTTTAATCTAACCTATCACTATAAAAATATTGAACTTTTATCGGTTTTGGTAAATATGTAAATCGTTATATCCTTTTGTAACAAAATTTTCTTGGCTTACTTTAAATGTTTAGACTAATAAATGTTGGACCCCTAATACATCTATCTGGCCTGTATAATCACTAGTTATATTAGGATGCGCATTAATCCAAGACGTTCATGAACATGATTCTTAAAATAACGTCAATGAGCGTTATTTCACACCTATACGGTACGTATAATATACTTATAAAAGATCCGGTATAAATATTTACTTCCATACATTCATATTATAAATATACACTTTGTCTACCGTATTTCACGTAATAACGCCCATAAATTAAATTTATTTAGGCCAAAATTCCCCTGCACGAAAATACGGTATTAATATGATTTTACAAAATAAATTTTTTATTATTATCATACTTTTTATAACCACCAGTTTTGTATAAAATAAACCGGGTGATTATGTAGAAAAATTACTATATATAATTAAAAATTATCTATCACTAGAAAATCTTTTTACAAATTACAATTCTGATTAGGTTTAAAAGTTATTACAAGACGATATCAATTTCTAAAATAAGTATACGATTACTGAATAGCTTTTTTTTTTTTAAAAAAAAAAAAAGTAGAATGCTGAAAAAAGAGAAAAAAAACCTTCAAATCATCGATAATATCGACTTCATTAAGTCCTTTTGGTCCAATTCTACCATATCTCAAATCGCTCATGTCCTCATTTATCCTTTTGATTTTAGAAAAATTATTATCGGACAAAATATCCCCATAAACATCCATTGAGGATAACAAAATACCTTTGAATATCCTGAAACAATTCATTACATTCCATCTCCATAACATTAATTTCATCTGTCATTTGCTTTTCTGCAATTGATAATATTTCAATTGCTTGATTTAATGTCAACCGATCATTTGACTAATTAATAAAAATATCCTAAATTAAAAAAAAAAATTTCAATCATGAATTCATTTCATTGGTTGTCATACCTCATCTAATGTTTCATTTAATGTTTCATCTTGATTCATATCAATATCCATCATATCCTTGTCTTGACAAGTACGACCTTTCCAAAAGCCAAGTTTTTACATTCTTCTATCGTATTTTGATGAACTGATTCCCTCATTGCACTTCTCTCAGTCTGATACTCTTTATATAATGGTTTAATATGTTTATTTTTTCTAATAAGGTTATTAATATTATTAATATTTTTCTTATGACGCGTCCTGACAAAAAAAAAATAATATATTCACCTATAAGAATTAGGAAACAAATTCGTAAATTGTTTAAAAGTTAGGCCACAAAAATTTAATATCTTGGCTTTCATAACAAGAAATTTTTGTTCAGACCCGGCCGGCCGGCTGGCTTTTTTTTTAATTTTTCATATAAAATTTTTGAAATTTTTTTTTTAAAAACCCATCCGGTTATTAAAACATATAAAAAAAAATTATAAGCTTTTAAATTTTGACCCGGCCGGGTTATGAAAACCAATTAATTAATTTTGTATGGCCTTATATTACTTTCAAGTTCACTGTTAAGGAGAAACGGTTGCCATTTATTTTTAAACTTTATGATTTGATACAAAGAAAAGTTGTAATTTTAGTAACATAGCGGTGGCAGAAAAATTGAGCAATTACTTCGTAACAACGGTATTACGTGCTTATAATAAAAGCTTAAGAAAAATATTTAAAAGCTAAGACAAGTATATAATGATATAAACTAACTATCTTATTTTTAATGCTGGATAAAAATGTGGACAAATATAAAGAATTTCTAAGTTGAGACTAAAATGACAATCGTAGTTATGGAAATTGTGCAAAATATCTAACGTTAACTGCTAATATAAATTCATTGTGGTTTCTATTTTTTATTTTTACTGTTTGATTGGCTAAATACCATGTGACAATACATGAACATCTAAATGATGTAATTACGTCAAATCAATAATCAAAACAATACAACCTTTGGTTTTTTTTTTATTTTTTCTTACACTTTACACACTTTTTTAATAACAACCTTTTATTATAATTGGTGGTTTTTATTTATCTCAAGAAAGCTACGTCGACTCGTCGGTATATAAAAGGTAACGTATCATAGATGTCTAGGTTGTTTTCACTGTTAAATACTGCAAACACGTCTGCGGAACAAGTGGAAGGAAAAGCTTGCTTTTCTGGCGGGTTTATCAGTGAAAATTACATCTGGTTTATGGTACAGTAACTGAATAGTTGCTTAACGATTGTGTGCATCTATTCACGACTTTTTAACTGGAGATTGAAGACAATAGAAGCACTTCGGGCCGCAACTCGTGACAGTCACTAGTTAGGCATTAAGACCTACAGTGGACGGCTTGTTGTGAACGTCTATTTCTTCTTTCAATGGTTTTAAGGGTTACTATTGCGGTTAGTATTTGGTTTCATGTTCGCAGGACCGACTAATTAAGGTAATTACTCCTTAAGAGGGTCGGGTGGACGGGAATCGGGTATTAATCGTTGTAGGTAGTGTACAGGTGCATAAAATCAAGCAACTGGAAGCTCTTCGCGGCCATAGTAACTTCGTGGCCACAGTTACTGTGAACGTCCTTGTTTGGTTTTTCAATTATTATGCAATTTTATTCATTTTTTTTTTTTTTTATACCGGTATATAGGTCATATTATGCAAGACGACGAAATACTCAAGACCAAAGAATTTAAATTATGTTTAGTCAGGATGTGACTTTTATATAAAAAAATTTTTTTTAAAAAAAATTGTAGTTGTTTTGTTAATTTCGATTGATTTTTTAATAAAAATAGTATTTTATAAATTTATTAAATATTCGAAATCATTCAAGGAAAGGTGTAAAAAGTGTAAAAAATAATTCGTCAAGAATTTATAAACGTTTGAAAATAAATGATCAATTAATAAATCGAAATCATCGTTTATTATTTAAGCAATTATCGAAAAATTCCAATTTACTGATTATTAATTATATTTATAGTTAATCGTTCTTG